AAGCTACTTTTGATAAAGAGGTTAGGGAAAGCCTCCCAAAAGAGGTGACATTGGATCTAAGTGAAATATTAATGAAAAGAGTGAGTCGTTGTGAAAAGCCAGAGAAAAACGTTGCAGGCAGCGGGGACAGCAAGTGCAAAGGCCCTGTGGTTCCTCCAGTTCTAGGAACATAGATCAGGTCCCGTGTAGCTGGGCATAAGGAGTGTTGTTAGGAGAGGAAATCAGAGAGCTCCTAGAGGCTGGTCTTATAGGGCCTTATAAGTCATGGTAAGGAGTTTGGATATTCTGAGTGCTAGAAAAGCCGAGTAATGCGACTAAATCTACTTATTTTAAAGATCATCTGAGTTGTTTTCAAGAGAATGTATTGTAGCAGTGCCAAAATAGAATTAGGGGTTCAAGTTATTGGGATAAAACAGGATAGTGTAAGGTTTTCACTGCCACCTCCACCTTGATCTCCGGGTACTCGGCACTCTCGACCAGGAGCGAAACTGTTGCGGACGCAGAGCGTTGGGTGACTCAGAATCTCAGAAACTGACTTAGGTGACCATGGGTGTCCATAGAGTTGGGGTGAAGAGAGGAGAAGCCCGCCATCAGAACCCCGGGAATCAGACGATCGCTCATCCTGCGCTGCCCTCTCCAGCTCTCCACCTGGGACATAGCCGGGTGTGACTCTCAAGCCGCGGCAGCGGCAGGGTTAAACCTGGCCTGCAGGCGGGAGGGGGAGAGGCGGGGACCGAGCGCTATGAGATGCCGCGCCGAACCCAGCCGAGCCGAGCCGAGTAGAGCCGAGCCGAGCATCTCCCGCCGCCGCCGCCGCCGCCCCGCGTCCCGGGCGCCCGCCCCCTACCCTCTCCAGCACCCCGCGGCCGGCCAAACCCCCGACCATGCCTGGTGCCCCACCTGCTCCAGCAACCCGTCAGCTCCGCGAAGCCCTGAGCGCCCGCAGCTGTCGCGCCGCCGCGCCAGGCATGCAGGTGAGTGATAGGGACCCCCACGCCCCCACCCAAGGGAGCCCGACCCTGCTCTTCCCGACTCTCCGCTTTTCGCCCCCGCTTCTCCCCGCTGGGTCCCTCGCCCGGGCTCCAGCCTTGAAGCCTTGAAGCGCTCCTTCCCCGCGGTGCTTTCCATCCCTCCTCCGGTTCCGGCTCCATCCTGCTCTCCTAGCGCAACATCCACTGTCCCCGCGGCTGCCTCCATTCTGCCTTTGGCTCAGGCTCTTTGCATCCTCCTGCTTCGGGTTCCTTGCCTGCTCGAGGCGCTCCCTCCCTCGGAGTCCCTTCACCGACCTCCTGGTCCTCTTCCCCCGCAAGCCCCCACTCTCGCCGCTTTCCAGCCCTGTGCCGGGAGCGCGTGCCTGTGGGAGGGCCGAGCTCCGGGCTGCGCTGGAGATGGGGCTGGGATCCCCTACCCCATGTCTCCCGCCCCACCCCCAGCTCGTCTCCTGCGCACAACAGGTCGGTGAGGCGCGAGGAGAGGGGTGGGGGTGGCGCGCCAGCCTGGGGACTGCGGGCTTCCTGGAAGGGGTGGCTAAAGGAGGTGCGGGTCCAAGGACTGGAGTTGACGTCGGTTGGGCGGGGGGTGCACAAGGCTGAGAGGCAAGTGAGTCCTGGAGTCAGCTGGCCACGGATGTTCCTGCGAGCCTTTTTCCACTTCACTGGTTCGCTCCTACACTCCTTATTCCCTCCCTCCAGCTTCGTTCTCTTCCCGGCACCCTCTCCCTTCTTCCCACCATGCCCCCATCCCTTTCTCTTCCCATAGCTTCATATCCCTTTATATCGGTAGAAGCAATTTCCAACTCCTCCATCTTTGCAGTTCCCGTCTTGGGTCCCCAACCCTTCCTCTTCTCATTTTGTTCTCAGTCTTATGCTCTCTCCTTTCCCATTTCCTTTCTCTCCAACCTTGCTCTTCTCTACCCCTTTCTCCCTTCCCTTTCCACGGTCTCCACTTCCCTTCCTACCTGGACCTTTCCTTCCTTCTCCTCTTGCCATTCCCGCTTCTTCCCCTGCTTCTGTGACCCCTTTACCCTCAGTTTCCCTCCCCGACCTTTAACTTATCCTGTTCTCCCTTCAGCATCCTCCAAGCTTCCAGTCTTCTGTACCCACCCCGCTTCCCAGGTCATTCTTTTTCAGGACTGACTCCTATCCCTCACCTGGTGCTCCATGCCTGCTTCCTCTTCACCCTTCTCCTCCCTCCTCTCTCCTAACCCATCTTCCCTTTCTGGGTCTTTCACCCCTTCACATCTCTTCCCCACTGCCCACTTCTCCATTCCTTTCCCCGGATTTTTCCATCTTATTTCCTGTTATTCTCTGAGAGTACTTAATGTACAGATTTAGACCCAGAATCCAGAGGACACAGGGTGTCACATCCTCATTTACTCTGGGGAGCTTGGGCCCCCTGGATCCACTATCCTCAACCCTGAGAACGTTTTTCCTCTTTCAAAACCAACCATCCCAATTCTCCCAGGACTCTTTACCCAAGAGACCTACATTCGAGAAGGTGGCCTCTCCCCAACTCCACCTCCCTTCAGAAGGCACCTATACATTTGGATGATTAAACATTGAGCAAAAATTATATTCTATAGTTTTTCTTACACCCATCTGTTTCTTTTCTTCCATCTCTCCATCTCCTATGCCCTCTCTCCTGAAGATGCAGATTTCTGGGGCCAGTCATTAAAGAAATGCCTTGGACTACAAGTGGGGTGGGCAGGCTGGGATGCTCCCCCTGTGCACATGCCACACACATTCACAGACTCGCACACTCAGATTGACTTCCTTTTCCCTCCCCCACTCTCAGACTCCTTCCCTAGCGGTAGGTGCTCAAGGAATCACAAGGTTCTTGGCTCTAAATTAAGATCCAAGAAAAGCTAGGAGCTGTGGGCAGAGGAAGTGAGAAGGAAGCCAGTCCTAGAAGTGAGAGTAGACCCTGGAGTGGGGAGGTAACAGGGACCTGGGGAGTTGTAGAGAGGGGCTGGGGGCTAGACAGGGAGCCACTCTGGGACTTCTTTCCCCCAGAGGATGTTCAGCAGCAGGGGATCCTGGGTAGCAGCAGCATAGCTGGCAGCTGACAGCCTGGGAGGGGAGATGGGGGTAGAATTGGTTGATGAATGCGCTGGGGAAGTACACAGGGCAGGGTGGGGATGTGACAACCCCTTTTCTCCTCCAGTAAAGGCTGAAAATCTGGGTCACAGCTGAGGAAGATCTCGGACATGGAGTCTAGGATGTGGTAAGTTTGGCAGAGCAGAGGGACCTTGGAGTTCACTTTCCCTGAGGTCTTGGCCCTTTCCCCCCTAGGCCCACCCAGGGCCTTCTATCTTGAGGGCTGGACCCTAGGGAAACAGGAAGTGAGGCTGAGTTTTCCCAAGGCCCACCTGCTTTTGCAGAGAGGCCTGGACGGGGACAGCTGGGGATCTCTTGTATGAGCCTGTCCTCCCCACACATAGGCCCAAGATGGGCTTCTGTCTCACCCTCTTTTTCTCCCTTCTTGCAGGCCTGCACTGCTGCTGTCCCACCTCCTCCCTCTCTGGCCACTGCTATTGCTGCCCCTCCCACCACCTGCTCAAGGCTCCTCCTCCCCTCGATCCCCACCAGCCCCAGCCCGTCCCCCCTGTGCCCGGGGAGGCCCCTCAGCCCCACGCCATGTGTGTGTGTGGGAGCGGGCACCCCCGCCAAGCCGATCCCCCCGGGTCCCAAGATCAAGGCGGCAAGTCCTGCCAGGAACTGCGCCCCCTGCCACCCCATCAGGCTTTGAGGAGGGGCCACCCTCATCCCAGTACCCCTGGGCTATTGTATGGGGCCCTACAGTGTCTCGAGAGGATGGGGGGGACCCCAACTCTGCAAATCCTGGATTTCTGCCTCTGGACTATGGTTTTGCAGCCCCCCATGGGCTGGCTACCCCACACCCCAACTCAGACTCCATGCGGGGTGATGGAGATGGGATCATCCTTAGAGAAGCGCCTGCCACCCTGCGGCCATTCTTGTTTGGGGGCCGTGGGGAAGGTGAGTGGGAATGGGAGAGGCTGGTAGGAATATGAGAGTGGGGAGGCTGGTCAAGGACTCAAAGGGCAGCAACAGAGGCCTTGTCTGTTATCTTCTACAAATGTGTCAGGCACTATGCTGGCACTGGAGGCAGAGATGAAGATATGTCTGAGTCCTTGAGGAGCTCATGTCCACTGGAGAAGACACTGGGGATGTCAATGTAATAAGTGCTGTACTAGAGGCACACACAGCATGTTTTTAAGAAAAGGGAGAGACTGCTTCTCCCTGGGGATCAGGACATCTTCCAAGAATTGACGTTTGAGCTGGACCTTGAAAACAGAGTGGGTGTATTCTGTGCAGAACACCATGGATGAAAGGATCTCCAAGGTGACATCTAGGCTCAGGGAGTGCAGAGACAGGGCCAGTGGTTTAGGGGTAAGGCCAGGGCAGAGATGGACATTTCCATCCCCTGGTTGCTGTACAGAGAGAGGGGTTCTCTTTTACCTTGGAGCCCCCTCCTCATCACATGTATACAGAAGGTTTGGGAAAGTGAAAAAGAATTTGGGAGGAAAAAGGCCAAAAATTCCAGGGGAAGTTGATGAATAGAATAAAGGGAGGGGGATGCTCCAGAAAGAATTGGGATTCGAATGTGAATTTAAATGGCAGCCCTCCTCAAGCTTAATGAACCTGAAGCCTAGCCCCACTCCAACCCCCTCTCCTACTACCTCAAGCCTCAAGCCTCCCTAAAACCTTCTTCCCACCCCAATCAGGTGTGGACCCCCAGCTCTATGTCACAATTACCATCTCTATCATCATTGTTCTCGTGGCCACTGGCATCATCTTCAAGTTCTGGTAAGCTGGGGGAGGAGGGCATTGGTGGATTGGGACTGAATGAACTTTTTGGCTGGAAGGAGGGAAGGAGCAAAGGCAGCAATTTTGCTGTGGTGGGATAGGAAATGGTAGATTAAGCCAAGACCTGGGGAAAGGTCTTGGGTCAGGGAGACAGTGAGAAATCAAAGCAGATTCATTCTCCCAGGGAAATACAAATAAAATGGGAGAGCTGGCGATTATTTATGTTGGGGGAGGGGGGCTTTGGTGGGCATCCCTTGTCCCCATTTCCTCCAAGACAGAGAAAACTGACCCAGTCTGCAGAATCCCTTCTTCGGGCTGCCTGGGGAGCAGGGAGCAAATCTGGAGGGTTTTTTTGCATACATTTAATAACAGGTCACTCAGTCCTTCACACTTTACTGAGAGAATCATTAGATTAAGGTGTCCAGGTCATTAGCTGACTTTGAACTAGAACTAAACCTGCCAAGATACCTGCTGAGAGAAATGGTTCTTCTGGATATGCATGGGGGAGGATGCAATTCTACCTATTGGTGGGGAGGAGGTACTAATTCTAGGGATCTGAACCAGGTTGGGAGGATGGGGCTGGGTAGGGGAAGCAGTTTTATGGACACATGGTCTCAGGAGATTTGGTGTAGGTAACTGTTAGAGGCCAGTTTTTCTGCTATAGGATGTTAGGGGTTCCTGAGGGAGGCTGGGGGTGACCAGCCCTGCAGGCCCAGGATGGGGGCTTCTTAAGTGTGTAAAAGAACCTTTCTTTCTGGTGCACCAGCTGGGACCGCAGCCAGAAGCGGCGCAGGCCCTCAGGACAGCAAGGTGCCCTGAGGCAGGAGGAGAGCCAGCAGCCACTGACAGACCTGTCGCCAGCTGGGGTCACTGTGCTGGGGGCCTTTGGGGACTCGCCCACCCCCACCCCTGACCATGAGGAGCCCCGAGGGGGACCCCGGCCTGGGATGCCCCAGCCCAAGGGGGCTCCAGCCTTCCAGTTGAACCGGTGAGGGCCGGGGCAAAAGGATGGGAGGGGGGAGGGGAGGCCATTTAGGTCTTTGGAGCTGTGGTTGGGGGTACTCCCTCCTAGGTAGACGGGGAGGAGGTAGGCCTGGCCCTCCCAGAGCTCCTGGCTCTCCTTCCCAGCCTGGTCTCTGGCTCTCTCAAGGGGCCTGGACCCTCCTCCCTGGGGGAAACCTTCCTTCTCCCACTCTCTGTGGATCTATGTCCTGTTCTCATGCTGCCATTTATCTCCAGCTCTGCCCTCTTAACCTCAATTCCCTTTCTTTGCCTTGGACTTCCCTTTCAATTTTGGCTTACCCCTTGGTTCCTGACTGTGCCCTTTCCCTCTTCCTCTCAGGATTCCCCTGGTGAATCTGTGATACCCCCCAAGGTTGGGGTGCCGCCAAGCAGGAGGCCAAGGGGCCGGCATAGCCCCCATCCCACTGAGGGTGGGGCAGCTGTGGGAGCTGGGGCCGCAGGTGCTCCTGGCTCCTGCCCTTGCACACCACTCTGGAACACTCACTGGCCCCACAGGCAATCCTACCTACTCGCCCTCCTTCAAGTAGGGGACCTCACATATTTGTGGCTTCTGGTCCCCCATCCCGACCCTTGCACACTCACATGAAAGCCTTGCACACTCACCTTCACCCTCATGGGCCACTGCACACACTCATGCTCTTGTACAGCCAGTCTTCGGCACCCTCTCCCATCCACCTCTCTCCCCTCTGCTGACCCTCATATTCTCCCTTTTGTTTCACATGTTTCACTTTCTCTTCCCACATTCCATGCTCAGCTTACTCGGTGGTCAGTGGGCGACTTAACCATTTCCTCTCACATGCATTTCCGGGCCTCATGTTGTGGTGTTGTGTGTCGTGCCCACTCTCTCCCTCATGAACACCCACTGATCTAGTTTCTGTGGCTCCTGCATGCTGCCCCAGAGGTGGGTGGGAGGTGAGCTGGGGGCTCCTCGTGCCCCCATATGTCATAGCCTCATCTTATTCTATGTCATGTGTTTCACTGTCACCTCCATCTACTCCATGGGCACTCTCGTTACCCTGAGGGCTCCCCCATAGGAACAGGGGTAGTGAGGCCCCACACTTCTCCCCACCCACTGCTAAATTCTATTGTATGGGTTTTGGGGAGTCATCTGCTGCACTCCATGAGAAAGGGGCTCCCATTTGCCTTTCCCTTCCTCCAAAGCCCCTTTTGTCTTGTCTGTCCTGCCTGTCTCTGTGTGTCACTCTCTAGAATTCAGAGCCCCCCAAGCTAGTCCTCCATTTCCCAGCCTCCCTGAGGGCCTCCCTGATTCCCTGGAGGCTACCAGGGACTGGAGCTAGATGGTTCAAGGCCATTGGGAGCTCTACCTCCCAATCTACCCCTCCCCTTCCCGGGCTTCCTCACATCCCTCCTTCCCTCCTGCCTTTGTTCTTCCACTCTCCCTCCTTTTGCCTCCTCACCTCAGATTTGTCCCTACTTCTCATTGGTTTTTTTTCCACCTTCCTTCCTTCTTCCTCTCTTACCTGGCTCCTATGCTGTGATATATATTTTTGTATTATCTCTTCTTGTGGTGATAATCTTGAATTCTTGTGGGATGTAAGTTTCAAAATTTTCAAATAAAGCCTTTGCAAGATACTCGAGTCCCCTGGTTCTGCCTTATGATCCCTGTAAAGAGGACAGGAGGAGAGGCGACGGGCAGTCATGAGGAAGAGTAGGGTGGGGTCGGGGAACCTCTCCAGACCCAATGTGACCTGGCCTGCTCTGACCTGGAGTAGGGATTTTGGGGCTTTAACTTGGGACTAAATGGAAGAAAGAGAAACTAAGGGAGCAGTCCTGATCAGGAGCAGCTGGAGCAAGAGAAACTGGAAGAGTGGCTTGCTTGTTACTTGCCAGTGAAGGTCAAGAGAGACCATGTGAAAGGAGATGGAAGTAAAGGGCGAATTATATAAAAGGACGGGAACAGAGCAAGCAAGAAAAGGAAAAAGAGCTGATAAGACCAGGTGGAGGGTGAAGGGTGAAAGAAGAGAAAAATGAAGCAATGGGAAAGAGATGAAAGGGAGCTACAGGAAAAGGAGCCCTGCTTGGTTTATTTTCAGCCATGCTCCCTAACCTGCCCCCATCCACAGCTGCCCCCCTAAAAGCTACGAAGCATTAGAAGCCCTGTAGTTAACTCTCATTAGCTTTCCTCACTCTGCCCTCTCTGACAGGGTGGGAGTGGAATCAAGGGGTGTTTCTGGGGGGCGGGGAATGCAGGCTGCCCAGCTGGGATCAGTCACCTCTGAGCCCCCAATTCTAGGTTTGGCTCTTGTAACAGCCCTGCAAAAGCCTACACATCAGCCTCTCAGCTGTTGCTAGGCTCTGTTGCCATGGTAACCACCCAGGTCCCATTTCTCCCCCCACCCCCATCTGTGCCCCACTTGCTCCCTGGAAATGGGGAGCTCCAAGGAGAGGAGACCATAATGTGTGAGGAGGCAGTCTGGGCTGCCCTGGGCTGTGTATGCCTCCATGTATTTATCTTTGCAGCTTGAATTATGAATGTGCATGGGTTGGTAGGTGTGTGTTTTAGGTGTTGGGGAGCTTGATCATGTACTTAGGGAAGTGTGGCTGAGTTCGTGCAGCGCACGGTGGTGAGTGGGGAGGAAGGAGCCTATTTCTCAGGACCAGAGCAGTGTGTGCTTTCAGGGCATCAGATTCCCTAACCCTAAGAAAAAGACAGACTGCTACAAAGGAAGGAAGCAGAGCAGGGCCAAGAAGTGATGAACCAAATAAAAGCAGAGGTGCAACACAAACAAGCTGCTGAGGAGGGCTCTGAGGCAACCCAGCTGGGCCTGAAGAGATCCCAGCCTGCAGTTGGTGGAAGGGAGGGCTGGATAGAACCTGAGGGTGCAGGAAGAAGTGCTGATGGGAGGCTTGGGGCAGTGAGGAAGGGGTCCAAGAGGATAAGAGAGGAAGCCTCACTAACCTTTCCCTTTTTTGCCCACAGGAATCGAGTCCTTGTCAGGTGTGTGGGGATGGGGGTGGGGGAGGAGCACTGGCACAGAAAGGGAAGGTGCTCAAGTGCCTGGAGAGCACATCCAGCTCTATCACCTTCTGCAACTGTCTCTTCAGAGGGACAGTGTGACCCTGCAGCTCATCCATATGCAAAAGGCACACATGAAGGCCCCTAATGAAGAAGGAATTAATTATTCCCTGATTAGACTGCTGTTTTTCTAAATTTAAATAAATTCAAATACACCACCAAGACATTGGAAATCCTCACCTGTTCCCTCCCTAAATGC